CCGGGGGTGCCTGCAACCACAGGGAACACCGCCAGCGAGCCTTCCACGTTCCTGGAGGCCCTGGGGCTGTGCCACCGCTTGCCTCCCTGCCAGAGCTTCTTCTGCAGCCCCATTTGCTTCTCACAGGACCTTTGTCCCAGTAGCTGGGCACTCTCCCATGACCCTTTCTATTTGTAGGCTGACCACTGGGAGCTTGCCCTCTGCCCTTCCACCTTTCCCCATGCAGCTCCTTTCTCCCCAGGCACCATTCCCGGCTGCCCTCAGCATGATTTGGCCCAGTGCAGAGGTCCTGGCTGCCCTCAGAGTCCGAGGCATGGCCTCAGGCTTGTTTGTAGGACCCTGACCTCATGTGCAGGGGAGAGAGAGATGAAGGTGCAGGCAGAGTAGGATTCGTGGCATGGCCCTTGACCCCACATCCATGGTGCCTCTCCAGGTCAGGGCGCTGCTCTGCTGTCCCGGTAAAGGTCTTAATGCAAGAGGTGAGAAAACAGTGTCCCCATTGCTGCTTGTTGTCCTTATCCCTTCACTGCCCTGGTGCTGTCTTGGAGGGTAACTGGGTGCTGTAGGGGCTGCAACGGATGGGGAAATGCAGAAAGTGAGAGAAACTGGCATAGCTGGCTGATAGGAGATAGTGAAACTCATCTGTCATGGTCCTCAGGCTTGTGCAGGAAGATGATGGAGGATGTGGTGGAGGAGCACAGCCACGTGCTGCTGATGGCCCGCTTGCGCTGCAGCAGCTATCTCACGTACAGACATACAAGAAGCCCCCCACTCCCTGCCAGGAGTGGCTGGAGCATCCCTGAAGGCAAGCTGGATGGCACTGGGAGCAGCAGGATGGCAGATGCAGGCAGCAGTGGCAGAGCAGCCTGTCCTGCATCAGAGCGGGCAGCCCCTGAGCTACCATCAGCAACAAGCCACTCCAGGGCTCTCTGGGAAGCTAGGCTTTTCTGGAGCTCTTTTTCTTCTTGAGAAGCCTGGCTTTTTGCAGGGAGCCCAGCACCATCATGACTGCAGATACAAAGAAGGACCAGCAGCAGTACTGCT